ATTTTTACAAGACTTAGCATATAATTTTAATTCATTGGGAAGACAATTCCACGACTACAGAACCATGGAGACGTCAAGGGAAAACACGTAGAAGGAGCCAGGGAGAGACGAGGTGAGACGACAACAGCGATGACAGGACCAGCAACAACAGAGGAACCAAGAAAGAGTGAGAGCAGAGGGAGAGCATATATAGCTGACAGAGACAAAGGCAGGGCTAACGAGCTGACAAGGAGCAGGTGTGAGAGGAGACAACGAGGGAGCCAAGGGGAAAGGAAAACACACACATACATGAGGGCAACAGAAAAACATGAGAACATAAATCTAGAAATTACAAAAAACTGGAATTAAACCAATAAAATTAGAAACAAGGGGCAAAGCAAAGTGCAACAGCACCAAGATCATGATAGTACCCCCTCCTTAAGGGCGGATCCCAGACACCCTAAAATGCCCAGAAACAAAAAACAACCCACCCAGGGTGGGCGGAGGAGAATCAAAGTCTCTGGAGGCCGCCGATGGCGATGCCTTCTCTGACGAAGGAGGGTCTCTGGAGGCGGCCGACGGCGACGCCGTCTCTGACGAAGGAGGGCCTTTGGAGGAAGCCGGCGTCGAAGGAGGGCCTTTGGAGGAGACCGGCTCTGATGTAACGGCAGAGGAGGGCGCCATCTGTGCTGCTGTAGGAGGACCTGTGGCAGAGGCTGGCGACGCAGTCTCTGAACAAGGGAGGCCTCCGGAGGGGGACGCTGTCTCAAATGCAGCCACCACCTTGGGGGACACCGTCTCAGACGCAGCCGCAGAGGTGGCCGCCGACTGCGGCTCAGGAACAGCCTCATAGGGGGCTTGGAGCGCCCGCTGAGGGCTCTTGGAGATGAACTCCCACCGGGCTTTAACTCTGAGGCCTTTTTGTTAGCTGGCTCAGGGGTCTCTGGACGGCACGGAGCGGGCTCAGGGGTCCCTGGACGGCACGGAGCTGACTCAGGGGTCTCTGGACGGCACGGAGCGGGCTCAGGGGTCCCTGGACGGCACGGAGCTGACTCAGGGGTCTCTGGACGGCA